TACAGCACTCAAACACTATGGCCTGTGGACCAAGTGTTCTTGATTTATACAGCTTGAACCTAAAACCACCTGAAATAGATAGTTAAGGACACACCGCAGACTCAGATTTTAACTAAACTAATTGCTACTAACGTTTCCCTCAATAAGTGAGTCAAGAAGTCCTGGGTAGGGCAAGAAGCAAAGTGGCTGTCATGTCTGAAAGGCCTTTACTTGAATGGATTGGAGTTCTTCATATGTTTCTTTCTTTATATTCTTCATGTGGACAGTGGCCAGCACTGTGGGCGGAAAGAACACACGTGAGATTCTGCCATGACCACACAGAACAGACTCTCCCAGAACCACGCTGCAGAATCCGGACCACATATCTTGGACATCTGTGTCCCAAATTCTCACTTCAATACTGTTGTATCCAGAGCTAGCGTTAAAGATAAGATGTCACACTGATAGCCACAGAAGCACATACGAATGGATTTACACATTGCCCTTCGCTTGGAACTTATGGTGATGGTCTTGAATGTTAAAAAGTGGTTAAAATATGCCATATGACACAAATTAATACATGGAAAGCAAATGAAGCAATTGAGACTCTAAAATTTGACGTTTTTGGTTGTGGGGATCTAATCCAGGATCTCTTTTATGCTTGACTTCTAGATCAGAACACCATTGTAACCTTTGAAGTACAACAGAAAAGGCCACAAAAGATACAAACAAACAAAAAAAAAAAACAAAAGTAACAAGAACAACAAAAAAGACTAGGGACAAGAGCATTGGAAGAAAATGGAGTTGACAAAATTGCTTAGAGTGAAGAATGCAAGAATGGCTCTATTGCTTTTCATAGTCTTTGTCCCTATGCATCCATTCTTTCCTCTTAGCATGTTGATCCCATGTACACATGCTAAGCAAGAGCTCTACCCTGACAATTACTCCCTCCCACCCGACTTCCAATCCTGCTTTTATTCTCTGGACTCGTTTGTTCTGAGAACGGCCAGGGCTGGGCCCATGGCAGGTTCATTCAGGGACACTTGTCAGAGCTGGAGACAACTTACTTGTGCCTCAGTTGTTCCCTGTGCTAGGCCACTCAACGTTTGAAGGGGAGGAGTAACGCTCTGGTCCTAGCAGCTGCTGTGCACCAAGGTTGGGCCCTATGTCCTAACTCAGTTTTGACCACAAGTTCTTACCACCGGGAAATGGAAGGATGAACCATAGAAAGACCTGTGCTTTTTCAACTTGGCCAGTGTAGAAACAAATTCAGTCAATACCATACCATTTTTCAAGTGGCCCTTTCTCAGATTCAGGCCATCGTCTGCAGTCATGAGCAGCTCACGGATCCCTCTTGACACCAAAGCCTGGGGAGAAAATCAGTAAGAGAAATAAATGGGTTGCCCTAGGCCCATGAATTTGCTTCTTCCTAGGGCTGGATTAAAAAAAAAAAAAAGAACTATGGCCATGGATATGAGACCGTTCATTTGAGACATGGAGAGGAAGGCTTCGTTCCCCATGCAACCACTTTTCTGTTAAAAAGTTAAAACAAAAATGTGAGTCCTGCCTCTGTCACCCTCCTCAACAGCAGTCAAATTCCAAACCTCAGAGAAGAGGCAGAGGGGCAATTGTAGCACCCAATGCAGTGCTTTCCCCAAAGGCCCTCCAGGGGTTGCTCCAAGCCACAGAGCAGAAACTGAATGCTTCCGTCCGTGCTGTCACCAAATCACCACACCTTATGAGCCAAATCACCACACCTTATGAGCCAAATCACCACACCTTATGAGCCAAATCACCACACCTTATGAGCCAAATCACCACACCTTATGAGCCAAATCTACAAGACACTCTTCTGTCAGTAGTTTCTTCAGTCAGTGGCACATAAATTGTGATTACTCCACCCATGGTGGCCCTTTCACCTGCATGACCCTTAAATATTCCTAGTTTGACTACAAATACTTCAGGAATACTCTCAATCAAGAGAGAAGAGATGAAGGGACTTATGTAATGGAGGGGCAAAATACTGAGGTGGTGGCTGCAGGTTCTAAGACAAGTCAAACGTGTGCCTTTTTTTGGTCTTTTGGACTACAATATCTTGAAAGCCAAAGAATCAATGGAATTCACCTCTGAGTCTTTTGTTGGTATCATAAAATGGTTGGTTTCTATAAGTCAATTTCAAAAACTAAAAAAGGCAGGAAAAATCACTCGAGTGAGAGGAACCAGGTGAAAGACAGGAAGAGATCATAGTGAGCAGCCGAAGTTTGCAAATGTATGGCAAGGCTAGAGGCCCAAGGAAAGTCCAGTTGCAAGGATAAAACCTAACAGTTTTAGAAATGCCAGTGCCCGGTGATAGTCATCAGAAACAGTATACAATGAAATGGAGCAGATTCTGGAACATTGGTGCTTATAAAATATTTTATATTGTTAATGTATGAACTTAAAGTGAAGTGAAATATGCCCCCCCGCAGTGCTGCAGCATGCATGGGCGGCCTGCTTATATTGAGTTTCATGGTCTGAGTTGATGAGGATGACTGACCAAGTCTCTTCCTCAAGGAACAGGTCCTGCCGAGGTATGAAATCCAATCGCTGGATTCAGAGTCCAGAGCATTAACCATTACACCATGGGAGCTGGTGATTTGGACTTATAAAAAAAAAAAAGCTAAAATTAGGGTCAGAGCCATAAGCAGCAAATATTAACCAGAAGCTGGGATACTCATTTCTTGTGATGCAGCAAGACAATGATCTAAGTTGTCTGACAGAGTGCTTGGAGCAGCTTCTAAGTCCATGGCTCTCAATCTTTTGGGAGTTATACAGGGGTAGCATAGGACTACCTGCATTTCAGATGTTTGAAAATAACAATGAGAAAAAAATTTGTAAGGGGGGTGACCATAACATGGGAAACTATATTAAAAGGTTAAAGCATCAAAAAGGAAAAAAAAAAGGTTAAAAACCAATGACTTAGAAAATGTCTCTCTCCTTACTCAAGGTCAAATCAGACTTTAAAATGTATGTTTAGCCTCATTGTCTTTGCTAACTTTGTTAAACTTAAGCTATTTGGATAAGTCATATATACTAAAAGGAACTTATGGCCCTGCCATTAATATATGACTACGGTGCCTTAGAACTTGTCAAGGGCAATGCTAGCCCCTAAGGTCCTTCCTGTTCCCATTTTGCCATGAGACCTTTTCCTTGTCACCTTTCCTTGCCTTCCCAGGTGACAGCATTAACAGCTGGATACAAACTTGTTCTATTTTTACCCGTGGAATGGCTAATTTAGTTTTCTTTATTAGTTTCCATTCAAAATCATTAATTTAAAGGCAAAACCTGTTAGGAATATAATGTAAAACCCTAGTCTCACGAAAGCTCCTAAATTACTGTAGACTGTTAGGGAATACAAGCTAATAATCAGTCATCCTCAAAGCACTGAAATGATTAATTACAGGGATAAGCCCTCTTTAGTTTCCTGTATATGATTTCAAAGTCAAGCTTAAAACCAAGTAACTAGAAACAAAGTTTGTCTAATCAGACATACCTAAGCAGCCCTCAGAGATCTGAGGAATATGGC